GAGGCAAAGAAGGCATTAAGTATCTCAGCCTTCTCCTCGTCCTTGGTTGCAAGGTTTCCCCTCGCATCCAGTAAGGGATGCTCAGTCACATTCTCTGTGACTCTCTTTTTGTTAATGTATTTATAGAAACTTTTTTTGTTGTCCCTGATGTTAGTTGCCAGGTTCAGTTCCAGCTGGGCTTTTGCCTTCCTGATTCTTTCTCTGTATGTCCTAACCATATCTCTGTACTCCTCCTGAGTTGCCTGTCCCTTCTTCCAAAGGTGGTACACCTTCTTTTTTTCCTTAAGTCCCATTAATAGCTCTTTGTTCATCCAGGCCGGCCATTTTCCCCGGCCTTTAATTCTGTGCCTCATGGGGACAGCCTGCTCCTGGGCCTTTAGGATTTCCTTCTTGAAGAGCGTCCAGCCTTCCTGGACTCCTTTGTCTCTCAGGACTACCTCCCACGGGACTCTCCCAACCAGGGTTTTGAACAGGCCAAAGTCTGCCCACCGGAAATCCAAGGTGGGGGTTTTGTTAACCCCCTTCCTTACCTCACTTAAAATGGAAAACTTAATCATTTCGTGGTCGCTAAGCCCAAGACGGCCTCCGACCTCCACATCCCCCACTAGCCCTTCTTTGTTTGTCAACAGCAGGTCTAACAAGGCACCTCCCCTGGTAGGCTCGCCTACCATTTGCGTCAGGAAGTTATCCTCCATACACTCGAGGAACCTTCTATCCTGCCTGCTCTCTGCTGTGTTATATTCCCAGCAGATGTCTGGTAAGTTGAAGTCTCCAACTAGAACAAGGGCTGGCGTTTGCGAGACTGCAGCCAGCCGCTTATAGAATACTTCATCAACCTGCTCATCCTGGTTGGGTGGTCTATAGCAGACTCCCAGCACAAAATCACCTTTGCTGGCCTTCCCTTTCACCCTTACCCATAAACACTCGACTTCATCATCACTGGAGTCTATCTCTATACAGTCAAACAGCTCCCTAATGTACACAACCACACCCCCCCCCCTCCTTCCTTGCCTATTCCTTCTGAAGAGCTTATAGCCGCTCATTGCAGCATTCCAGTCATGACCATCATCCCACCACGTTTCCGTGATGGCTACTATGTCGTAGCTGTCCTGCCGCACGATGGCTTCTAGCTCATATTGTTTGTTGCCCATGCTACGTGCATTAGCGTAGATGCACTTGACCTGGGCTATTGATTTCACCTCCATCTTTGGCCCTTGACACTCAGGTTCATTACCAGCGGGCCTGGTTTTGTCCCCTTCCCTCTTAACTATTGGTTTAAAGCTCTGACCGTGAGCTTTGTTAACTCTTAGCCTAATACCCTTTTCCCCTTCTAGGGAAGGGTTTTCCCCTTGTTTTCTAGCAGTAATTTCTAAATGTCTATCACCTTTCTCTGATGAAATGTCAGAGTGAGAATCCTCTCTAATGTGGCCTCCTTCAAACCATGGCATGCTTTCCCTAGGTTTACTCTTCACAGGGTCAGCTATCTCCCCTTCCCCCCTCATATCTAGTTTAAAGACCTGTCAATGAGCCCTGCTAACTCCTGCCCCAAAATTCTTTTCCCCGTCTTGGACAGCTGTCTCTCACCTGATAATGGCATGCCGTGTGTCTCATAAAGCCGCCTGTGTTCGAAAGACCCAAAGCCCTGCCTGTAACACCAGTCCCGGAGCCACGAGTTGATCTGTTGCCTCTTCCTGTCAATATCTTTATCCACAGTTGCCACTGGTGGGATAGTAGAGAAGACAACTTGTGCTCCTGACCCCTTGAGCTGCTGCCCTAAGGCTCTAAAATCTCTTTTAATTGATTTCGGCCTCCTCCTACCCATTTCATCACTACCCACCTGAAACACTAACAGGGGGTAATAATCAGAGGGGTTTACTAGGTCCGGGAGTTTGTCTGTCACGTCCCTGACCCGTGCCCCAGGGAGGCAACAGATTTCCCTGTGTAGCGGGTCAGGGCGGCATATTGGTCCCTCTGCCCCCCTCAGCAGAGAGTCACCCACAACTATGACCTTTCTCCTCTTCCTTTTGGAGCTAGTAGTGAAGGTGGGTCTGCAGTGGGGTGTACTTTCTGATTTTTCTAGGTTTGGTGTCCCAGCCTCCTCTCCATCGGCCAGTTCCTCCTGCAGGACTCCATACCTGCTCTGCAGGGGTAACTGGGAAGCTGAGAGAGGTTGGGAGGGGACTCGCCTGCTTCCCCGAGCAGGGACCTGTTTCCATTGCCCCCCTTCTCTGACATCCTCTCCTGTTGCTTGGTGAGAAGAGGGGAGGGGGGCCTCCGATTTACACAGGGGCTCAACCTGTTCCCCTACTCTCAGGGAGTGGGCTCACCGATCAATTTCTCTTTCACACTCCCTGATGGTCCTCAACGTCTCCACTTCATCTTTCAGCTGGGCCACCAGGTTGAGCAGGTCATTGACCTGTTCACACCTTACACAGGTGTTGTCTCCACTACCCTCCACCACTACCCTCCATTGCCAGCGCCAGGCTCCGGCACTCCCTGCACCCAGAGGCCTTTGCGTGGGGCCTCTGTCTGGGTGCCCACAGCTTTCTTAAACACAGCCTTCGATCTCGTAGAGACCACAGCTGAGCCCCCAGGAGCGACTGACCTTACCTTGAATGTTAATAGAGGCACAGGCTTCAGCCCGTGCACACACCAGCTGAGCCTGCTCCCTCTGTGCTCTGTGGGCAGGCTCCCTCAGGCCTTTTATCCCCTGAGGGCGGGATGAACCGGGGGTGGAGGTGGCTCCTCCCAGGCTCGCTCAACAGCTCCACTGCCAACTGACAGCCCCCAGGACCGGCAGAGGCCTTGTCCCGGTTTCAAAAAAGCCCCAAAAAGAGCTTCTCCCCGGCCTTTTTCGCTGCAGATCCCCTCCCCAGCGCAGTCTTACCTGCCCTGAAGTTGGTCTCCGCAACAATGACCAGAGGAACCTTTGCCCCCTTGGCTGGCCAACTTGGTGAAGGGGCTTTCGGCTGACAGGCCACAGGGGGTGGGGTCCACACCGGGGACACCGGTGATGCTGAAAGCATCAGGGTCCAAAGCCAAGCTCAGCAGAGCAGCACTGGGCGCTCCTCTGCCATCTTGGCAGGGATAGGGGACAGAGATCCACGTGGCAGCAAAGACACAGGAGGGGAGGCTGGGGCATGGGACACCTCCACCCAGCCTTGGGTCCATCCCTCGGCCATCTGTGCCACCCAAAGGTGGCCCCTGATGGGGCATGGGGCCCCTGAGCATCTCAGGATGGCTACAAGATGATGCTGAGACTCTTGCTCCCCTCAGTGCCTGGGGAAACTTCTCTCCCTTGCATGGAGTCCTTCCGTCTCCGGCTCAGCACTAGGAGAACCCACTGCATTTCTAGAACTAGCGCTGCCACCACGGGGCTTGCTGAAGTGGACACCTTGGGGCTGGCAGCGGTGTCTCCAGCAGCCCTTCAGGTAGCCCCAGAGCCGGGCACAGCCCTGACACAGCCATTGTCCTACTGGGTACATCCCTGGCGACCCCCGGCCACGCTCCCTGTCCTCAGGCTCCCAGAGCTGCTCCCTCTTCTCCTGGGTGGCCTGGAGAGCATCTGTGTCCATGGCTGGGGAGCTGTGGTGGGGTAACTCCTCCTCTGTGGGGCTCTGCTCCCATTCCCACCCATACACCTCTATGGTGCTGCTCCTTTCCAGCTCCATGGAGCTGCTTCTTCCTGCCTGACCCTTCTTCAGCTCCAAGGCCTGGAGAGCGTTCACCAACTGTATGAATTGCTCCCCCTTGTCCATGGCCGTGGCTGGGGGGCTGCCAGGGGGTGGCTGTACATCCATGGGCTTCTGCACCCTGTCCCTGCTCTCCAGCTCCATGGGGCTCCTCCTGCCGGGCCCCACACTGCTCTTCCTCCCCAGCTCCCCATCTTCAGCCTTGTCCATGTCCTCTGCTCCAAGGTGTGGGGGCTTCATTCTGGCCCCCGGCTGCTCCCGTGTCTCCATCCTGCCCAGGGGATGGGAGGGCTCCCTGGGGGGTGTCCCATCACGGGTCCCTGTTGTCCCTTGCTGCTGGGCCAGCTCTGCTTGCAGCATCTCACAGCACTTCTTCATCACCTCCTGTTGGGCCTGGAGAGCGTGGAGGAGCTCCAGCATCAGGTCCCCCTTGCCGGTGGCCACGGCTGGGGGGCTGCCGGGGGAGGACACGGAGTCCAGGGAGGCCTGTGGGGCCCCCGGGGATGGGCCCTCCCTGCTTGACACCTCCACACTGTCCCTGCAGAGGAGAAG